TTTCCACTTCTTGCAAGCTTCCTTTTTGTGTTTTAGCTCACTGAAGAGTTCCTTGCTAAGCAAAGCTGGGTTTTTGCCATACTTGTTAATCTTCCTGCACATCAGGATAGTTTGTTCCTGAACCCTCAGTAAGGTTTCTTTAAAATACCACCAGCTCTCTTGGTCTCCATTCCCCCTCAGGCTGGCCTCCCAAAGGATCTTGCCCATCAGTTCCTGAGCGAGTCAAAAGTCCACTTTTCTTTAGTCTAGGGTCCTTACTCTGCTGCTCTCCTACCTTTCCTCAGAACCCTGAACTCATTCATCTTGTGGTTGCTGCTGTCCAAGTTACCATCCATTTCTACCTTCCCTACCAATTCTTCCATGTTTGGAGTGACAGGTCAAGAAGAGCACAGCCCCTAGTTAAAAATTCCTGGATTGCCTGTGCACTACTTTATTGTGCTTCCAGTAGATGTCAGAGTGATTGACATCTCCCATGAGAACCAGGGCCTGTGATTGGGAGACTTCTGCTGTTTCAAGAAAGCCTATCAACCTCATCCTCCTGGTTGGGTGGTCTATAGCAGGCTTGTCCAACATACGGCCCACCAAGCCATTTTCTGTGGTCCGCGGTGCTGTGACGAGAAATGAAAGTAAACACGGTTTACTTATGTTCCTGCCCCTTGTCCCTCCCCCAGCCCCTCAGCAGCTTCCTAATGGTCGCTGAAGGGCTGGGGAAGGGACAAGGTTCCCACACGCACTGTGTCAGCTTGCCGACGCAGTGTGTGTGAGGAGTGCAGACCCGGCCCGCCTCCTCCCGTCCCCAGCACCACGTGGGGAAACCACCACTTCCCAGCCCGAGCGACTCACCGCTCCCCACCAGCAGGCGAGGCAGCCCGGCTTGGCCCGGGTTGCTGGTGGAGGCAGAGCAGCATGGGCAGGTGCCTCCTCCCGCCAGGCTGTCAGCATTGGCCACGCCGCGCGGGTCAGCCCCAGGCTCAGGCAGAGCCTGTGCTCGCTGCGCCCCGAGGTGCCGCCCGGCCCTGGCTCTGGCTCCCTCCAGCCCAGCGCAGCGCGTCGATGCAGACCCGCAGAGGCGGCGATGGCCGGGCTCACCCTCATCGTCTGCCTCTGCCGCCTCCTGTCTGGCCAGGGCACTGCAGGTAGGGCCAGGCCGGGCCGGGAAGATGGCACCTCCCCCGGGGCCGGGCCGGTGACTGTGGGAGCCTGAGGAGCAAGGGTTGTGCCCTGTGTTGCTCCGCTCTGCCTCAAATAATTGCCCACCCCGGTCTAGATCAGTGGTTCTCAACCTTTCTTGTACCAGGACCCATTTGTAAACTTAGATGGTCAGTCCCTCATTGCTCCTACCTCCACACCCCAGTGCCCCAGTGTGTGGGGCATGGGGGAGCCCCAAGTAGCCCCTTGCAGGCTGGAACTCTGCCAGCCCACAAGAGAAAAGCCACAGTTATATGTTTTTCTCCTTTAAAGGAGAACCCATTTTTAAAGCTTGCTCGTGACCCTTCCATATATTCTTGAGACCTACTTTTGGGTCGCGACCCATGTTTTGAGAAACGCTGGCCTAGATCATGCCCCACCAGTGCTGTCCAACATCTTTTTGAATATCTCTGATGATGGAGAGTCCACAACTTCCCTAGGCAGTCTGTTCCACTCCCTCGCTGTTCTAACCTGTGAACAGAGGGCTGGTACTGGAAATACAGGCTCTGTTTTCAGGCCCTGTTCAGTGCCTTGTCAGCTAACACATGGACAAAAAGAAATTGGGAAGAGGTTCTCTCTTTAATTTCTACCTCCTCCCACTGGCAAGAAGCTGTTGGAAATTTCTTCCCAAGGTCTTGTTTGACTGGTGGCAGGATGCCTGCTGCCTCATGGGGTCCAGGTCAGGTACTGTTTTTATTTTGGATTTTAAACCACATTTCCAGACCCATTTCATTGTCACTTCCTGCAACTTCATTGGTGTCAAAGGTCATATGACATCACTTGCTGATATGATACCACTTCCTGTGAGGTCTTTGAATACGGTTCACTGGCCCACTGGGTGATAAAAAGTTCGTTACCCAGCCCTACATTCAAAAAGGTTGGACACTCCTGGTCTATAGCAACCCCCCAGCATTATTCTTGTTGCTCTCCCCTCTGACCCTAACCCATAGATTTTCAACAGGCCTAGCTTTAGTTTCATACTGGAGCTTTGAGCAGTCATACGACTCTTTTATGTGAAGAACAACTCCTCATAGTCTTCTCCCCTGCCTGTCCTTCCTGAAAAATGTATACACATCCATGACAATGTTCTAGTCATGCAAGCTATCCCACCAAATCTCTGTTATTCCAATCACATCACAAGTCTGTGACTATGCAAGGACTTCCAATTCTTCCTGCTTGCTTCCCAGGCTCCGTGCATTTGTGTACAGACAGCCGAGTTAACTAGCTGATTGCCTTACTTTATTCGGAAGAATGAGAACACTTCCCCTGTTGCCCCCTTCAGCTCCTGCTTTCTCCAGGTCACCTACTTCCCCACTTACCCCAAAGCTTTGGTCTCCAAAATACTGCACAAGCTTCATGATTTTTTCAGCAGAATCTCATATTTTATGCTCAATGGAAAAAATACTGTTTCCCATGAGGAGTAACAAACAGGTTTATTTGCAAAACTTCAAAAGTCTCTAAGTTACATGAAGACTAAAATTTGCTCTGATTAGGTTATCTAAGGATCTACAGCAGAGGTCGGCAACCCTTGGCACACGTGCCGAGCGTGGCGCACAAAACCATTTTGCTTGGCATGCCGCGGCCGGCCCCGGCTCCGGGTAGCTGCTGCCAGCAACGGAGCCCGGGCTGCACCCAGCAGGACTTGCAGCATCCCAGCTGCCTGCTGGGAGCAGTCCGGGATCCCGGCTGGCAGCAGCTCCCCAGAGCCAGGGCCGGCTGCAGCCGGGAGGCTCCAAACAGCTGCGCTGGGCTCCGGCATCAGCTCCGCACCAGCACGTGCAGGCAGCAAAGTGCAAACAGCTCCGCCAGGCTGCACAGCTCTGGCATCAGCTCCGTGCTGGTGGCGACTGCTTGTGCACCTCAGGGTGGACAGCGGGGCAGCGCAGCCCGCCCCAAGGTGCCCATGCAGTCGCTTCCAGCACAAACCTGTGCAGCCCAGCAGACCTGTTTGCACTCTGCTCGCTGCAGCTGCCCAGAGCCCAGGCTAGCTCCAAACAGCTGCACCGGGCTCATCACCTCCGTGCTGGGAGCAGGGGAGAGACCAGGGCTGTGCTGCCTCAGGCCCCTCCCCCACCGCCCGCTCCCAGGCACGCCTGCACGCGCTGGTACAGAGCTGATGCCGGAGCCTGGCACAGCTGTTTGGAGCCTCCCAGCTGCAGCCGGCCCCGGCACTCTAGAGCTGCTGCCC